CATGGTAGAAGTTATCACACCATGATCTCAACCCCTAACAATTTCATTCTTCTATTTAAACTCATGAGAACTCCACCAAAAATCACTTTTTTTTTGCCAAGTTTCTTCTTCTTTCTCATTTAAAATTTTGTTCGTCTTCTTCTTTGTTTATTTAATAACTGTGTTATGCCATTTATTTATTTATTTTTGCATTTGTGTTTGACATATTGTAAATTTCTTTTGCAGCAATCCTGTTCGTATCAACAATAATTCGTGGTTGGAGAGAGCTACTCACGCAATTCGGTAGAAGGAAAAAAATTATGTCAGACATTTATTATGTGCTTATGTTAGTTCAAAACTTTTTTTGCTATAATTTATTTATAATATTTAAGTTTTATAACTTACAAGACTTTGTTGTTGTATTTGTATTTGAAGCTACTCAGTAATTCTAAGACATTAAACGGGAAAAATTCAGTAAAGAAGAGAAGAAACCATCATCATCTCACATCATACACCAAATGCTTGGCAACATGTTGTACATTTACAAACATTTATGCTAGGCTCATGTAATTATGCGAACTATTATTTATATTATTTGGTTTTAAGTTTGTGAGTATATTGATAGCTCCAAGGCCATTATTGTTTCTTGAATAGGCAACACAAATTTGCGATTTTTTTTCTTTTCTTTTTTCGTTCGTTGATCCATCATATTCTGATAGAGTTGGCATAGATTTTGATTTCTGAACTTATGCAATTAATTTTTGTTTGCTCAACTGATGTGAATGTTCTCATTATTTTCAATCTAGAAAATAAAATTAGCATTGTTTTAATGATTGTTGCAGCTTTTGTATATAAATTTGAATTGTCATTGTTGTAAATTCAATCAAAAACTTTAGAGGAAAAAAATTGCATAAGGGGAAAAAACTTAATACGCAAGAGTAAATATTGGAAAAACTATCAAATGGTTTTATTTGATAAATAGTCATGAAAGATTCGTGCATATCATGACCAAAAATTATTTGCCTCCCATAAAAGGAAAAGAAAAACCAACTACCATATAACCGTGTATTAAGAGTAGTAGATACATTTTGTGGTTGATTAAACAATTACTCTTCTATTAAATGCGAATCGCGTATGCAAGTTTTTCCCAAAACCTAGCTACCTTCTTCATATGCTTTTCGTAAAACTTTAACTAACATTTTGCTCTTTTTTTTTTCTATGTCTCACCGACCCTTCCTTTCATGTGGCAAAGTTTTGTTGCACATAGTCGTCTATTTCAGTTGTAGAGTGAAGTGATCGCGAAACTGATTTTGCTGCATCCGAGAAAAAAATTGCACAGTAAAATGCATGCTACCCGCAACAAGATCTAACTACTTAATCGAGATACAAGAATTTTTGTTAAGCATTTTGTGTAGTTATCATGTTGCATTATCAAATTTGTATAAATGTTAATGCTATTACTGAAATTTAAATTTATTTATTTTTATTACAATTATTATCGTCACTACCTATTTCAGTAATACTTATTATCTATAATTTTCCTAATAACACACATTTACAACAACTCCCCACTTCCAGTAACTCCCCGTTAATTAATAACTTCCCACACCCACTATATAATAAATTCATATATGTTCCAAGAAAATCGTTCATATTTGAGGTTTCTTTTGTGTTTTAATCAAAATTAGGGTCGTGAATGATTCATCTTCGTTGGAGGTGGAAACCAGCAACAATTCTTGGGTGTTTTTACCGATACCGATCTATTGGTCGTTTTTATAGCCCCTATTGATAGTTTACTTACGTTTTCATACAAGCACACCATTCAATACTTTGCGACTCTTCTAATATCGACTACATGGTTTTGTTCACTTTGTCACAATTTCTGCATATATCAATCTTGACTCTTGAGGATTGAGAAACAACGAAGCAAGAAATGGAAAGTGACAATATGTTGTTGTACTTCGACAAGCTATAGAGCCTTAGGTTTCATTGGTCAATCGTTAAAACTATAGTTAATTGTATTAATCAAGTTCTAAGTATTATTTATCCATCCTTGTACGATTTTCTTATGGTGTGGTGTATTCTCAATTATTTAATTTCATTATATTTAATATATTAAATTTTAAATATCTTTTTTTTTATAATGGTACCCTTGCAACACACGGGTTATGTCCTGGTTTCTTTTTACGATTTTCTTATGGTGTGATGTATTCTCAATTATTTAATTTCATTATATTCAACATATTAAGTTTTAAATATCTTTTATTTTATAATGGTACCCGTGCAACGCACGGGTTATGGTTACTAGTAATATTAACACAACAAAACTCATTATTATTGTGTATTAGAGTAATATTAATGTGTTGACCGTTCAACAAATGTAAACATAATAAAAAGCCAAAAGAATTAATATTACTGTGAGTGACACCAATATTACTATAACAACGGTAATATTACCGTCAACCACAGTAATATTACAATAATAGACATTAATATTATTACGTTACTCCGTGAATAACTCAAAGAAAACAAAAAACCCAAACAAAATAATAATATTGATGTGGTTAACAATAATATTACTATAACAACAGTAATATTACCGTCAACCACAGTAATATTATTGTGTTTACAGTAAGATTACAATAATAGACAATAATATTATTACGTTACTCCGTGAATAACTCAAAAAAACAAAAAAACCAAAAAAATAATAATAATAATAATATTAATGTGGTTGATAGTAATATTATTATCTTTACAATTATTTTACTGTCAACGACAGTAATATAATTACGTTGACTTGTCAACAAATAAAAAAAAAATTACAAAAAAATAAAAAATAATATTACATTAATTTACCGTCAACGGCAGTACAATTACATAAATGTATTCAATGGCAGTACAATTACGTTAATGTACTGTCAGTGACAGTATAATTACGTTAATTTACTGTCAGTGATAGTATAATTACCGTTAAGGACATCACAATTACGATCAACGTTTAGCGACGGACGCAAAACAAAAAAACACTAAAAGAAGTCAACAACATACCAGAAAGAAAATATATCGAAAAGTCAACGCCGGAATCCGGCGGTACAACAATATTTTCTGAAAAAAAAAATAGTTTTTGAAAGAAAAAAGTCAAAATTGGATTTTTGTGGTCAAAATTGATTAAATTGGGGTTACAATTAAGAATTGGGTGTAGGGTTGGTAGTAATTTTGTCATATACATGATTTTTTCCT